TGATTTATATATTCTCCAGTCAAACATTTACTGTATTTTTTATTATTCCAAGTTCTGGTACATCTCAGCTGCTTTTTTGCAATAATAATGTAGGCATTACATTTTTCTTACTCAATTGCAATTTCGGGAAAATGACAGTTCACATTTGTCAAAATATTTTCAATATCAAACAATGATATAATGTTTTCTGCAACTTTTTCCATTTATTTCTACAATATTAATATATTTTTATAATCACATATATCCTAAAAAAATTCCTTAACAAATTTCAGAAAGATTTATCAAAATTCGAATAATCGTTTAGGAAGAGTATATTTACATACATCATTACTGGAGAATTTTATATATAAGATTACAAAAGAATTTTTAGTATAATATTACAGAAGAATTTTATATGTAAGATATATTAATGTATTTTTTTTCTTGTTTTAGATAAACGACAGTGGATAGCGATAGGAGTTCTGTCTGTAATTCTGTTGATTGTGATAATTTTATTCTTGGTGTGAATACAAGGTTTGTGACTTAATTTATTATTATTGACATTCAAATACAAGTACTGAAGTCTACTTTTTAATAATCAAACTACAAAAAATACTGCATCATAAATTTTAACAATTCTCAAGGTAAACTAATTATGTAAATTTATTTTTTATTTTATAATCGATCAAAGGTTTTATCAATATTTTATGATATTTCAATTCGGTATAGACTGGGATATGAAAAAAGGTTTTATAAAAAGTATTATGATTGATTGTCATTAGATTGTAGGTAATTAGATATATATATATATATATATATATATATATATATATATATATATATATATATATATATATTTATATATAGTAATAGATAGATATATTTATAAATTATTAAAAAACGTGCAAGTGTAAATGTAAAAATTCAATCTAGTGTATAGTTTTAATTTATTATATTATTTTAATCATCACACAGATACATCAAAATATTTTTTAAATTTAATTGTAGGTGCTAAATGCGTAATATTATTTAAGTAAATATATATTTAAATTACGGAACTAATAAGTGCTTTGTGCAAAGGCCAATTGTTGATATTATCTGGGGCAAGAAGTTTTTTCCTCTACTTTCACTTTTTGTATAACTTTTATAATTAACATACTTCCCGATATTTTATAAATTTTCACTGATTTTTGATCTTTTTTATTAAAGAAGTATCAAATTTGCTACTTTACTAGACCTTTCTATTTTTATTTAATTTTTTTTTCTTTGTTTTAATCAAGCACAACACTTATTCTGTTTCTAAGAACAAAATACATCACAAAAGTATATATTTGAAATATTTTGCAGCTCAATCGTCGAATTAAAAAAAAGATTAAAATAGAAAAGTAATTTATTTTTATTAAACGTTTCGGCACTTGATGCGTGTCATCATTCAGTAATAAAAAAAAAGCGCGCGTAAGGTTCACATGCGATTAAACTAAAACTTATTTGCTACTGTACAAGATGGCATTTAAATTAAAATAAATGAATCATATAACAATTTTGAATAATTTTTATTAGTAATATGGTAACACTCGTGATGCACACATTTATTAGTGTCAACAATTATACACATTTATATAATTATAAATTATAAATTATATATTTATAATAGCATTAAAAATATGTATAATATTTAAAAACAATAATGTAATTAAAGTCATACTTCAAATATGACATGATCGGTTTGTCATTGTAATTAGCATTTAGAAATAAACAAAATTCTAATTAGAGAAATGAAGTAATTGCTGATTAATAAATCAGCTCATCATGTAATTCTGTTTGAAGAACTTCATGTAATTAAAATTAACATACATTCATTGACTGCTAATATTTTTTTCACTTTTTTGCTAGCTATATAATCTCATTCTTTGAACAGCTGTAATATCTGTCATGCCTGAAAAATATTTTCCATTTTAATAACTTCAAAGATTTATAGAAACTACGAATAATATGGAAATAATTTCTTATCAATAAACTTACGTTTAGTACACGGCACAAATGTTTAATTTGTTTCATTATTTTCTTCTGGTAAAATATTCTTCTGAATTAGGCATTTTTAGTTAAATCAAGATTTATACTACTATGTAACTTTAAAATGTTTATTTATCTATGCCGATTTTCTTGTTGACATCGGTACGCATACAACGTTGATGCCGGTACGTGTACAACGACAGATCTCTATTCACATACACGACGACTAATCACAATCCACCCGTATTGAAATGATTTCATCGAGAGCGAATGACGTACAGTTCGGGCGTAACGCATTTCCGTTGCATTTGTACGGATTTACACCCTAGTCGCGCCTAAATAAGTTTTACTTTAAAAAAATATGTAAAATCATTAAACACTAAACTTGTGCAAAAGAACAAGATGACTAATATTAATTAATAAAAAGAGAAAAAATTAGAAGAGCCCATAATGCCCTCCTAATATAAATCACATTCAACGATTGGGTTGTAAGATATTTCAAATATGTATCGACGTCGACAAAACTATCAAC